TTTTTATGTATTCCTTTTGATATTAATTCAATTCTTGTTAACATGCCAACACATCTTTAATTAAATTAATAAAAAAGAGAGTAGGCCGTCAAGCTGATTGTACAGATAGATATACGCACGATACGATAAGTATTCGTCATATATTTTTTTTTATTCAACACAGTAAAAGTAAGTAACATAAACTTCTTATTTTTATAATTATTATGGATGCGAACACATAGTTTGTTAATTTAATATGTATCATTAGGATATTTTTTTTGTGCAAATTTTGTATATAATAAAAGAAGAAATTTAAATCAATTATCAGCTTTTGCAGAAAAGAACTTTATTTTGTCCAGAACATATTCAATCGTAGAAATTTGTGTTATTGTTTGCTATGAAAATGATAATATACATGAAAAGGAAAGTGTAAAAACCAATTTATGGATAAAAGGTCTATGTCTAGAACTAGTTTTACCATGTAAAGAAAATTCATACGTCTGCCGGTTTTTGCCGGTCTAGAAATATTTTTAGACCGGCCGGTCACCGGCCGGGCCGGGCCGGTATAAGATTTAAACCGGTCAGGCCGGTCCGGTCTGAATTTTTTTGACCGGTTACAACTCTGATATATAGAGCAACTCTCTCTTAGACTTAGTTCTAACATCCTTTCAGACTAAATCTATAGTATTTATAGCCAAGAAAAGATCATGCCAACATAAAACCACAATACAGAAACGAAGAGACATTCGTTATTTTGTTTTATTAAATGCTCAAAATAATCACCATTATTTTCGATACAAAGTTTCATTCTTTCTAACAGTTTATCGAAAGTCTTTTTAAACTCGTTTATTGGAATATTCTTCACTATGGTGGAAACCTCTTGAGCTAATGATTCTTCGTTTGTGTGATCCGTCAACTTGTTCTTGATATAATCATTTAGCCAAAAGTCACACGGTGCGAGATCTGGTGAATATGGTGGATGTGGAATGATTTCGATTCCTTCCTCCATTAAATAATCAATAACATCTGGATGAGTATGAGGAGGACCATTATCATGAAGCATTTTATATGTAGTACGTGATGACTTTTCCTTTTTTCTTATTTCATTGATAACAGGTATAAGACAATTATCAATATAGTAGTCATGATCGATTGTCTTGCCCTTATCTACTTTGTGTATGAGAAGAGAACCAGTGGATTTGAAGAAGAAGCAAAATAGTGTTCTAGGTTCAAATCTATTCCGACGAACAATGGTTCTTGGTGGTTCATTTTCGCCAACCCAAGTAGCATTGCTTGACTTTCGACCAATCTGCCTGTGATAAATCCATGTCTCATCATCAGTAATAACATCACATAAATGCCATGTTCCATTTCTAAATTTCTCTAAATTTTGACGACAAATTCTAAGTCGTTTTTGTTTTTGTTCGTCAGTAAGTTGATGAGCAACCCAACGTGATGTAACTTTTCTCATCTTTAGACGATCATGAATAATTCGTTCTATTGTACCACGTGATAGATCAGTTTCACCCATAATATCATCATAAGTTGAGTGTGGATCATCTTCGATAACTAGTCGAACGCGTTCAACATTTTCATCTGTAAGTACCGAAATCGGACGACCAGATCGAGGATCATCAGTGACATCGTCTCTTCCTTCACGAAAACGTTTCGCCCATCTTCTGACTGTTGGATATGATGGAGCATCAGGTCCCAATGCCTCTGTAAGTTCGTCAAAGATTGTTTTTGAATCTATTCCCAAAATAGCTCGAATTTTGATATAATATCGATTGAATTCATCAGTCATGTTTAATGTCTTCTTTTAAGATTGAAATCAAATTCTATTACGATTTTAAGTCGAGTACGGTACAAATGAACTAACAGCGAACGACCTCTCATTTATATATACTATCGAAATGTAATATTCTAGAACATGACGTCATAAAACGTGACGAGAGAGTGACCAATAGAAAGTTCCAGAATGTACCTGACCATTGAACAAGAATTAATAATATTTGCATTGTCTGTAAAATTATAGATTTAGTCTGAAAGGATGTTAGAACTAAGTCTAAGAGAGAGTTGCTCTATATATTATTAAAGACGAGACGTTATACTATATATCGCCTTAGTAAAATATTCAATATTTATTGCTTTATTAAATTTTAAAAACTGTGATCAGAACTTTTGGTATACCCTAAGTAGCTTTCTAAACTACTAACGACATACACACATATCATGCCTTCTTAAGAGCCTCCTCCCCTTAGAAAATCCAATTTTCAAAAGAAATATCGAAGTTGAGTTTTTAACATAGGAAGATCCAGCGAAGTTTCCTCTTGCAGAATATGTATCGATTTTTGGAAAATGATCACATTTTCAA